CTGACCAGCCTCACCTGGGACCTCCACCCACACCCTCAGCCCAAAAGCCCCATTTAAACTCAGCCCTGTGCCCTCAGCCCTTCCCTGAGGTATGGTGTAGGGTGCTTGCTTCCAGCCCTGTTTCTGGCTTTGCCTCCTGGATGGACCATGGACCTATGCTGGATGTAGCTTGTCTCCTGTCCTGTATTTGGCTCTGTCTTTTGGATGAACCTTGCACCCACGCTGTAGCTTTGTTTCCAGATCAGCTTCTGCCTACGTATCCTTTTGGACTTGATGGTGCTCCGTGGTGGACCCTGGGCCTGGTTTGTGGCTAGCCTTGCCTGGGGTTGCCTATGGACCTTATTACCAGTGGCTGGCTCTGCCTGCTGTGTTCACCCACCTTGGGACTGCCTGTTGGCAAGGCACTGCCTGCACTGGGCTCCCCCAGCTCGCCAGCCCCTGGGGGGCAGCTGGCCCTCGGTGCTCCCTGCCACCTTCCCTCTCCGCTGCCCAGGCCAGGCTGGTGGGCGCCTGTACACCAGGCGTGTTCCCAATTGGCCTCGCAGGGTAACAACAACCCCTCTCTGCAGAGTTCCCCGTCAAAGGATATATTTACCTTTGGGGTTGTCCTCTGGGTCACCAGTCTGACCAAGACATGTTTCCTGTTTCTCCTGTTGTTCCTTGGGAATTTTAACTCTGTGTGGGGCCAAAAGACTGATGAGGGCAGGAAAAACCTGTATTGCAAATGTGGATCTTATGGTCTGATGCAGGTGCATTGACAAAGTCCCCAACGCCAAACAGCGCAGGGCCATACACAGACACCTCTGCCTTCATTTTTCCTGAGCTCTTCATCCTAGAAAAGCTGGTGCTTTTTGTGTACTTAATATTTGAGCTGAAATTTGTTTATAACCTCAGAGTGGTGGGGTAAAGCCTTTTATCCCTCTTTCTGTGTGTTTTTCTAAGCAACTTCATTTTGAAAAAGGGACATGTAAAATTTTTTGGATTTACTGTTTAACATTTTTTGCAAAGGAAACAAGAAGTCATAGTTTTTGAAGTAACCATCTCTTTAAGTGCACCAATGTGCTCAGACCAAGGCTGTGGAGGTAAAGATGGTCCAGGGCACACTGCTGATAAGCAGAGGATGCATCCTCTGTTGCTGGGCTTAGTGAGACTGTACTAGTTTTCTCCTCTAGCCCAATCTTGGGATTGCTGGAATGTCTGCACTGAAACATAAGGTCAGTCTGGCTGTTTCTCTTGGGTTCAGTTTCTGGGCTCTTGGAGGCAGAGACCTCCTGACACAACAGCAAGCACCGCAATGGGTTCATGGGGTGTGATTCAACAGCTCCATGCTGTACCTCTAATAGCTTTTTATAGGTGTCCCCCTTTGCACTGACTGCTGTGCTCCCCATCCTTGGAAGCATTGCTCCAAAAACGTGCTTGGCACCCTGGTGACCGCTGGTTAACTTCAGCTTGGGATGCCACGTTCTTGGCTCTGGCTCCGCTGGCCGGTGCTTGTCCTTGCTGAGGTTGGCCCGTGCACGTCTCCCTGGCACTGGGCTGCCTGGGAAGATTCCTGCGCTGCTTTAGGAGCCCCGGAGGCAAGCTGAGTTTGGCAGCAGCTGTTGAACTCCAGGAATCTCCTTTCCAGCACAGAAATAGCCCTTCTGCAGACTTTTGGTTTGAGGTTGAATAGCAAAGATGTTGGTTTGGCATGCTGAATGTGCACGGTGGGCAGTCTTGCCTGGATTTTCTGCAGGTGGGCAAGGAAGAACCCAAGTCTAGAGCTCAGTGCAAACACAGCTGGACTGTGAGCACAGCTTGGTGTGAGCCCTGCCTCTGGGGTCCTGGGCAGCTGTTGTGGTTTAACCTCAGCCGGCAACTGAGCACCACACAGCTGCTCGCTCATCCCCCTTCCCCGCCCCGGTGGGATGGGGGAGAGAATCAGAAGAGTAAAAGTGAGAAAACTTGTACGTTGAGATAAGAACAGCCTAATAATTGACATAAAATAAAGTCAAATGGTAATAATAATGATAGTAATAATAAAAAAAATACAAAGCAAGTGATGCACAATGCAATTGCTCACTACTCACTGGGCACCCGACGCCCAGCCAGTCCCCGAGCAGTGGCCTCCCAGCTTCTCGCCGGCAGGGCATGAGAAGCTGAAAAGTCCTTGACTAGTGTAAGCACTGCTCAGCAACAACTAAACCATTTATCCACATTATTCTCATCCTAAATCCAAAACACAGCACTGTACCAGCTACCAGCTAGAAAATTAACTCTATCCCTGCCGAAATCAGGACAGTATCCGCAACCAGCACAGCAGCATTGCCCCCAGGGTGGAGGTAGGAGCATGCCGGTGGTGAAGGTTGCTCAGCAGTGGTAGAAAGAGCGTTTGTGAGCAGAGCTGCTCACTGATGGCCACTGGAAGGAGATGGGGGAGCCTGGCTGTGAAGCAAGGCAGTGGGGTGAATGCCTGTGGGGATAAGGTACCTGAGCCCTAGAAAAGCTGAAAGCTTATGAGAAAACATGATTTTTTGTAAAGAAAACCTAGAATTACTTTATCAGACGTACGGTCTGTCCTGTCCCTGACTCTGGCTGCTGCAGTGACTGCACTTGCTGCATCCTCAGCATCTACCTGCCTGGGATTAATCTGCTCCCAGAAAGGCTGTGACCCCGATCTCTGATAGCTGGTGACTCAGGCCCTGCAGCTGAGAATCCCTTCCACAGGTAATCTGTGTCCTTGAGAAGCAGTGCGTCTGCTCCCAGAGGTTAAGGCAAAGAGAGAAAATAATCCTGCTTTGAAATCTAAAGTAAATCCGTGACATTCTTGTAACAACCAGAAACCCAGCAGTGTCAGGATGGGGAGTTGACCCTTGGTTAATCCTGGGGAGAAATTGCAAGCACAAGCTTTAGGGTTGAGGCTGGTTGAGCGTTAAAGCCAGTGTCATAAACAACCTCCCTGTGCATCAGCTTCTGCCCCAGGATGAGCGGTGCCATGAGCCGCAGCTACCGCAGCAAGACACTCTTCGAAATGTCTGTAGTAGATCGATCCCATCTGATGCTTTGCTGGCTCGTGCAGTGTGGGTTTCTGCTGTAGGCATTTCTGAGGCCCCACTGGCTTATCCCAACGGCGCAGAAACTAGCCAGATGAGGCTAAAATAAATACATGGAAAGCTGCTTCTGGAGAACAAGGGAGGGGGAAGAAAAAGCAGTGCATGTGGAAGAGCTGCGGTCTGGAGCTGCTAAAGCCAGAAGGGCATCTGCCTTCCAGCTTCCCCAGCTCTGCGTGAGGGCTGGTGTCTGAGAGGCACGTCATTTATTTCAACATTTCTCTTTTGGCTTATGGGGGAGGTCAGAGAGAGGAGAATGGTGTTTGCAGTGGCTGATCTGCCCAAGGTATAACCGTGCAGCCCATTGCCAGGGTTTGAATGCTCACCCTCCCTGGGGATTGAAGTGACCTGTTGTCATTTGGTTGTCCTTGCTTGTCTCCAGTAGAGGTTTGGCATCGTCTTCTGAACTGCCTGCATCGTGCGAGGGGCCACGGGGCGCCTGTGCTTTGCTCTTGCTCTGCCGCTCCCTGTGCACGTGCAAACATGTAGAGGTGTTCATAGGGATGGGAACATGACTAAATCCTTCCTGTGACGTTCAGGCTCTGGTGGCTGCCATGGGAGAGTCTGCAGTGCTGCATAGCTCCTCTGTTAGAGCTGGGGTTGCCCCTGGCCCCAGGCATACAGTGGGATCAGCCCGTCTCTCCCTTGGCTGAGGGGTGCAACACGTACTGGAGCTCCACACTGTGGGCAGCTGCCCCCTCGGCTACGCCAGGTCATGCTTCCTACCTGTGCCCTTGCCTGGGTCATAAGAGATCTCATTAATTTCACTCCTAATTCTGTTTTTCTTTTATGCCAAATTCTTCTCTGGGGTTGGTGAGGGATCCAGAGGTAAACACCAACCCTGGCTGTTTAAACCTGCTGGTGCAGCCCTGCCCCTGTGATTGCTCTCCAGCTACCTCCAGTTCCCAGGACACAGGGAGAGGAGTCTCTGCTACTTTATTTAGGAAAGCACCAAGCACATGCTTACCTTTAACCCTACATGCACATGTTGTCACGGACCATGGTTTTAACTTTCAGCACACGCTCAAGTTGTGTGTTAAGGCCATACCCTGCCCAGGAAAACTTCCATTTCAGCATGTTATTTCTAGTACTAAGTCCCCAGCTGCAGCTTGTGTAGGAAGGCCCTTCACCTGATAGGATCCACTGAATTAACACTCGTCTGCCTGTAATCACCAGCAAAGCTGATCGATGATGAGGGCTGCAGCCCCTGGAGATGAAGCATGCAGGTCTTGGCATGTCCATTGGTGTCAGCAGCTGGGAAATCGCCTCCCAAAACTGCTTGGCAATGAGAAGAGACAAACATCCCTGATATTTTTTCCCGTCTGACAGCTGTGTTCGGTCCCAGATTAATTCCCCATGCTGTGCATGTGCATCCCTTGTAACACTGATAAACTCTGCTGACCTGGTATTGTTTCAGGGTTTACAACCCCTGAAGTCTCCGAGGGGCTCAGCCCTGCACCCTCTCTGCCTTGGTACCATTTTTGCAATGTTCTTGCTGCCAAAGGCTGTTGCACTCTCATGTTGCTGAACTGAGAGTTGCCTGGGAACATGTCAATGCTGTGACTGTGTGGGGAGCTGGAGGTATACCCAATGAAATCCCAAGTCACCACAAATGGCCGCGTCTCCTGCAGGACCGCATTCCCTCCCCTCCTTCCCAGCACGGGGCTTCTTTCCCTTACAAAATCTTCTGAGGAGATGGTGGCAGGACTGCTATGTTAGTGTCTGAAGTGGATCAAAGCAGCTTTCTGCTCAATTGACTTGTTATTTTCCAGAGCAGCAGATCTATACGGTGTGTATATCTCCTGTCAGGCTGCAGCATGCCCGAAGTTGTTCATCTGCCCTCAAATAAATCTCGCACCTCATTGACAATGGGAATTAGAGTGAATACAGAGGCTGAACGCCTCCCACGTGATGGTAGATGCTAGTGCAGACGGTACTGGCAGGATTCCTGCTGATAAGTCATCAGGTACGGAGTGATCCAGACCCCTCCTGCAAGGCTGGGCCCGTGGGGTGCTGCCCTGGGTCCATCCCTCATCCCCACCCCTTGCAGGTGGCAGGGCTATTGCCACACTGCCCAGCAGCGTAAAGGGATGACAAGAAAGGAGGGACCTGGTTGTAGATATCTCGGAGATAGAAACAGTGTGTCTGGGTAGAGCCAGATGTCTGCAATTTTTTTTTGCTAATGGAGGGGAACAAGAAACCTTGTGGTTTTGAACAAATTTTTGTTCAGGTTCTGTAGCTGAATGATTCTTTAGTTAAAGAATGCACTTGGAAAGGGAATGTCTCTGTTCACCATGGGAGCTAAAAGCTCCCCATGAGACTGAAGTGAAGGTGCTGCCAAATAGCCCAGACCAGGGGCTCTCACCCAATTCAAACCATCTTGCACGTTCACAGCATAGTTTTGAAAGTGGACCTTTCACCTGCTGGGAAAGGGTTATTGCATGGTGCACGGCTCCCGATGGAGCTCCTGACCTTGTCATAACGATGAACCCTGCTTTGGGGAGAGGGGAGTGCCCCTGTGGTCTGGTCAGGACACCCGCCTCAGTGAGGGACACAGTAACTTCATCCTGCTCCATGGTTCAGTTATTGAAATTGGGCAAACTTCAACAAGGAAGCTTGGGAAAGGACTGAGCAGGATTTTCTGTACCCAGCTGATCCAGGACTTGTGTTTTAGGACATTTGTGTCCCAGGCTCTGCTTTACAGTCCTGAGCATCCCAACTATATGGTCATAAAGGTACCACTACTGCTTGGGTAGAAATGGCCCTTCATGTTTTTGGGGCACTGGCCTCGAAACACATATTCTGCTTCAAAAATATCACCTGCTGCTTCTGAGGTTATCTGAATATTTGTTTCGGTCCGAGTTTGCTCAATTTGTGAATTATTTTAATTTCCCCAAATTGCATTCTCCCCTTCCTGGGGGTTTTGTCTGCTGTCTAATAGGAAGAACCAAGAGAGCGGAGCCCTGTAGTGAAGGTGTCTCAGCTACTGAGCATCTCTTTCTTCTCCCCCAATGCAGATGAAGTGAACTTGCTGGACAAAATTACTTCCCGTGCACAGGACCTCAGCAATATTTCCTTTGGCTATGACGAAGCCAACTGCAGCATCCTGGAGATCGGGCAGTACGCGACCCTCAACATCCCTACGAGGGAGGCGTTTGGGGACAGGTGGGCTGCCTTCAGGGGGATGGGGCTGGGGTCGTGGTGCTCAAAATCATCTCATACATGCTTGTTGGTTTGAGGGGTTACTTTAATACCCCATTCCATAACAACACGAAGATAACGCATCCACTCTGTGCTCTTATGAGCTCAGTGCTTCTTCCCTTTCTTCCATCTCTTGGTCATGTGCAGGGAAGACACAGTGGCACAGTGCTTGACTGACCATTTCCAGGAATGTGTTTTCTTGGTGTTCCCACCAGGAAGACCTCTCTGCTCCAGCACAGAACTGGCGAGAGCAAGAGAGACAGCACAGCCATATGCATCAGCATTGCTTGATGCCAAGGCACTGGTCTGTGGAGGCATAGACCAGGTTGGACCTTTGCCCTACTTGATATGGGACTGTAGCTTGCTGTGGACAAGGGCACTGGACACGGTGAGAGAAAGCAGCATTGAAGAGCTGCTTGGAACAGGGTTACCATCCAATCTGAGCAGTGGGCAGGGCAGGAGTCCCATGGAAAATCATGCGCAGCCACAGAAGCATGTGCTGAGATTGCACCTGAGAGGGATGCGTTAAGGTTATACGGGCAATGCTGATTTTTGGCCTGGCTGCTCCTTTCTGAGTACCTGACCTTACAGCCTGAATGACTGGTTTGCTCCTGACTTTTTATTTTTCTGTCCTCACTGAGTTCATTTGTACTGTGACTTTTTTTTTGTCCTAAGAGGGCAGTTTGTGGTGATTCAGCAGCTGCTGCAGGATGTCACGCGTTGCTTCTTTCTGCTAGGTTTGCAGATGAGCTGAGTGTGCTGATGAAGCTCAGGTACTCGCTAAAGGAGGACACCAGCCTAGTGACCATCCTTAGCCATCGGAGCCACGTGCTCTTCCAGATCAGGATTAACCCATACGCCTTAGTCTTCGTCACCACGAGGAGGAGACACTATGAGTAAGTTCCGTCTCAGGTGCTTTTTTCCTGACTTTTCATGCCTCCTTTTCTGCTCCCAAAGCCAGAGTTAAGGTTTCCCACTACAGGCTTTGAGCAGTGCTGCTCTGACGCCACCTCAGCTGAATCAAGGTTGTGTCCCCCTGCCTGTCCCCACCTGGGTGATGGTCCCTCAGACCTGGTGGTGTGACTGCACAGGTAGTCACTGCCTAACTACTGTGTCAAAATGATACACATCTGGAAAACAAAGCAAAGAACGAAAATGTTCAAATACCCAGGCTGGTTTGGGAGGCTGTGCTGGGGGTGGCTCCTTGAGAAATCCCCCTGGCAGAGGGAGTGGGGATAAGTGTTTTGGGAGCCTTGGCTCTGCCCACCTCCAGCCCAAGCAGCGCATCGAACCAGCCAGCACTGAGTCCAGCGTACAAAGGGGGACTTGCAGGAAAGCAAGGCCCTGCACGAAGCCTTGTGTTACATACCTGGCCTGTGTCCTGGACCTGCTGGGTGATGAGTTGTAGCCCAGCGCTGTCCCTCAGGCTCCCCGCCCGTGAAGCTAGGTAACAACCCTGATCTCCCTTGCAAAGAGCTTGGAGACTTCTCAAATGATAAAAGCTGGTTTGAGAGCTAGGTGTGGTGATTTCTGGTCTTGAGAAACATGGCACCTCCCCTCCACTAAAGAAACCCTCAGGGCTTGCTTTGGAGAGGGGTGTTTCTGAAGCCACCTGCCTGGCTTGGCTGTAATTTGCAGCAGGTCTTGCTGCTCGCTGCTGTCAGAACATCTGCAGCAGCAGCTGGAGTCATGTTTCCACCAGCAGCTCCCTGCGAGCACGTCCTGACGGCCAGTCATGATTTGCCTCATGTCTGTGGGTGATGAGGTGGTAGCAGAGTCACATCTGCTGATAGCCTTGTTGCAGTGAAATCAAGGGTGGGTGGAGAGAAACATCAACCCGTGCTGACACAAACTCTGAAACAAGGACAGCCCTTCCCTCAGCCAGACCCGAGTGTCCCCATGCCGATGGGCACATCTGCCTGCTTGGTTGGTGTCAGGTGGGCAGATGTTCCTGCTCCTTCTGGATCATCCCTGCTTTGCTAGTGCCAGAGAAGGGTGGCATTTCTGGCTGACCAATAGCACTAACATCCACTGTAGAGGATGCCCTGGGCCAGCTTTGCCTTTATCGTTGCTTTGGTAGCCTACAGTTTGCCCTACAGAAAGACTGGGGATAAATCAAGCAGGGAGAGACACAAAACCCAATAATTTCCCAGACACATCAACTGGTTGTAGATGTGCCCAAATCCATTGGTTAGAAATAGTATTCCCATGCTGGAAGAGAAGTGATGGTGCTTACCTGTGACAATGAGGTAGACTTGATTTCTTTTGTACTGTCCTTAGCATCTGCACTAAGGATGGGTACATGAGGGACCCTGGGAGCTGGTAAGGGTGAAGCCTAGTCCTGCATAAGTTGTGGGACCTAAGTTTCATGTTGTGCCTCTTTCCTTCCCCCTCTGGGGCATGCAGGTTCCCCGTTTCCCTTCTCGGCGATGGGCACTGGCACCAAGTTGCTCTCAGCATCTCCTTGGAGAGGCTGGAGTTGCACGTGGACTGTCGGCTGGTGGACAGAGTGAGCTGGTCCAATTACTTTGGGATGGGAGTGAACACTGAGGGGCTGATCATCATCGGAGGCCTGATCGAGTCCTTTGAGATCCCCTTTAAGGTGAGAGCTGGACAGATATGGCAGGGCTGTGTTTGAGGACATGGTCTGCTCTAGCTGCATGAATTGAGGTTGCAACCCCCTCTGAAGGAATCAATTGCCTTCTCTTCCTAAAACACACCATTTATTTTCATGGTTGGGGAGGGTGAGCTTTGCAAAGGCTTTGGTTGCGCAAAGTGCTTGCTTTTGGGTCAGGGCAACACCAGCGCTAGCAGTCAGGTGAGCAGTAGAGACCTCTAGGTTACAGACTTACACTCATCCTCTTTTGTTGGTCATGACTTGTACCATGACAGAAGTCATCTGTGCAGTCAGCACGCAAAGCATTTGGTTGGGGAGCTTGTCCCATGCGTGTGTTGAAGATAAAGTCCCTGCTTTGAGGACCTTACAAGCAAAGGATTCCCAGCAGGTCAAAGTAGATGGCCTTGTTAAAACGCCTGATAAATTCAAAGGCTGTCAAGCTTTGTGTTGAAATGTATCTGATGGTCAACCTCAAACACACAAACTGAGGGCATCAAACAGATCTCACTCTTACAGAAGAAGTCCAAGTGGCGTTTCTGAGACCAACCCCTGGTTTGTGCCATCAATCTGAAGCTCTTCTCCATTTCTGTGGGGTAGCTCTCTCCTTGTCCCTGGTTTATAGTGGGCTGCCCAGCTGCACCCCCAGCCTGGGGAGGAAGATTTCAGCTCATTTAGTGAAGAAGTCAGCTGGCAGCTCGGACATGCTTCTCTCTGCATTTGCTGCTGCTGGGAGGTAGCAGAGGACCATTGGGTGGACGGAGCTGGCTCAGACATTCCCTCTGGATAGTCGTGTCGTGCAGAAAAGCTGCTTAAGCATCAGTGGTGCTGTGTTGCTAGCTAATTATTTCAGTCGCCCTGAGCTTAATGAAGGAAATGTGAAGGCAGCCTCGTAAGGCAGGGAAGCCCTTTTTAGATCAGTTTTGATTCTGACAAGTGCAGAACCTTGGAGGTTGACATTTTGCCTTATGCAGGCGAACAGGCATCTCTGTATATCTACCTCCCTCCCTTCCTCCTCTGTCTGGTCTGTGCTGGGAGTCCAATATCACGCTTATTCTTTCCTTCTTTGTAAATCTTCTCCCATTCAGAATATTTTCCCTTTCGTCTCTCTCCTCATGCACCCTTGTTTTCAACAGGGCCTTTGCAGTACGAGAGCAGCTCCCTGCTGCTGCGCAGCACCCAGCTGAGCCGTCCTTGCTGCCTCGCTGAGAGCTGTAGGGCCTGGGTGTGCGGGGAGGTGATGGTGGAGTTGCAAGCCTTCTCTGCCTGCAGGCACGCAGTTGTCAGCCTGTCGAGGGGTCCCTTTCAGTACTGCCCCTGCACCGGGGTACTGCTCAGCTGGGATAGGGAAGGATGCTCCCTTCAGGGCGAATAGTAAGGGCCTGATCCTGCAGTTTGCTTAGCACCTCTTGAATCCTCACTGTTATTTAACTCCAGAATAGCTTGTGCATTGCTGGCTTTTCTTAGCCTTTGTTCCCAGGATATTTGCATCCAGCTCTTGAAGCTGGGGGGTGAGTGTCGATTGCCTAACCCATCCTGTAAAGAAGTCCCTGGCTGTGAGAGGCTGGAGACCCCTGCAGACCTTTCCCTCTCCTCTGGAGGAAGCATGTGGGTAAACTGTGGTTTCTGTGTCTCTTCCTCCCCAGGGTGCTCTACAGCAACTGACCTTCGTGATGGGAGACCCAGCAGCCGCTGGCGAGCACTGCTGCAGCTACAACGCCACCTGCACACGCTCCTTCAACCTCAACCGCTTCGGTTCCCCGTGGGAGCTTTCACCAGCCTGGCCAGAGGTGTGGCTGAGGGCAGCTGACAAATTTTGAGGTTGCTGGCCCGAGCTCCTCTTTGGTGTAACACGATTCAAATGAAAGGACCAACCCAGGGAGTTAATGCAGCCTGGAAGTACTTGGATCTCCAGTTTGAGTTGAGATGCAAGAAGCTGATGATGGCCAGCACATGGGGCGGTGGTTCTTTCACCATCTAAACCCTCCCTTCAAGTCGTAAATGGGTTTGGTGCAAAGGGAGAATGAGTTAGAGGGAGAGTTTCTGTGCCAAAGAAAGCCTGGGTGTGTGTATGACTGTATGTGCTCATGTGTTTAACGCAGGAAAGTTCTGAGTAGCTGTTGAGTAATGCTGCAGCTGGAGCTTTGTTTTTGGGAGGGGGTGAAAGCTGTACTTGGGAATTGTACATCAATTTGAAATTCTTGCTCGCTCCCAGCGAGATTGCTGCATTGCACCCTTTGATGCATCTTCCTTTCAAAGGTTGTCTCCTCTGTTTTGTCAGCATTGCTGGAAAATTGAAGTTTTGTGGATTTTACTTTTATTACAGTGTTCAGCAATTTTTCAAGAAATACATCATGCCCAGATCATATAGTAAATCCCCAAAGACACGAAGCACCCAGGCTTTCCCCAGGAGCTGGAGTTGGCCCAGGGAGACACCTCATCCCTCTAGGCCAAGTATCTAGAAGGGCTTCGTAGCTGCCTGGAAAAGGCTTGCTGAAGAGGCAAGTGCCTAATGTCAACGTTTGGCACGAACCTCCCATGTGTAATACCTGTTTCTGATGGTCTAGTGAGGAGCTGGGAGAGCTGCTGGGAAAAGGGAGGGAACTGGGTGTGGGATGGGGCATCTGCCCTGTCTGGGTCCTGTCTAACGTTTCCTTCCTCCGGGGTCCTGGTGCTAGCACACCCAGGCAGCAAAGAGGGAGCAGTGACACCCAGCTGGTGCTGCTGCCGCTGCTTCTCCCTGCTCCCAGAGCAGCCCTGCTGTAATTGCGCCATTCCCCAGGATGGGCTGCATCAATTTCTGTATTTATTATTTTAAGAGGATGATTTTAGGAAAAGCCCTTAACTAGGAGCTGGCTTTGCCAGAGAGTAAATGCAGAGAAGGCCAAGTATGTAACGCAGAGCAGGTCACGCTGGTTGTCTGCCTGCTCTAAGGGAGATCGGTGTGTCTGAGTTCCCAGCAAATGCAACCCATGGTCATCCCCAAAATGATACCTGGTATTTCTCATGCTGGCAGCCCTTGGGTACTGGCTGCAGCTCCATGAGATAAGTCGGACTCACTCCCTAGAGCTAAGAAATAAGGGCAAATCTCTCATTTAAAAGCTACAAGTTGTGTCCTCTGAGCCTGCAAGGTGATGGGCTCCTCTTAACCTGCTCTTAATATCTGTATTATCCTGCACTCTGTAGGCCTGGAGCACTCACCTGAATGGCTCCAGTGGCTTACCCAGCAGGGAGAAGGTTTTATTTTAAGCATCAGTAAGTTGACTGCAAGTGGGAACCCACAGGATAATTCTGCCCCATATCACACCAGTTCCCATCCCTTGCTGGCCCTCCTTAGGGCTGATTAGCTTCAAAAACAAACCAAAAGAAACCACAAAAACCACCCAAAGACTCAAGAGGTTTAATCGAAAGTTGTTCCCTCATGCTGCTATGAATGACTGGTTCCCAGTGTGCATTCCCTGGATGCTTCCCATGCTGTCGGAGGCAGCACACTCTTCAGTCCTGGAGCCAACGATAACCACATGTTTAAGTCAGTGCAGGTCCTTGGGCAGTGACATTTTTCCTCTTTCTCTCTCCAACTGTCTAGGTGCCAAAAGAAACCAATGAAATCCAGGACTCATCTGCTCAGGTATGACTCTCCTGCATTGCTGCAGGAGGTATGTGCAGGGAATGCCCCTCCCCGCGTCCCTCTGGTATGTCTCACCACCTTAATGTCTCCTGGGGAAACCAGTCACGCTAATGAGCAATCAGGTAAAAAGCCAAAATACCCAGGCAAGGCTACGAGTTATGATTTATCTTTCTTGTGGTGTCTGTCTTCAGTGGTTTGTCTGTAACTTGACATGTCTCAGAGCTGGTGGAGGCCAAGGTGAGTTTAGGTGACCTTCCTGAGCATTTGCATTGAGCCCAAGAGGGGTGGCTTGGTGAAGGTGGTGATGAGATGGATCAGGTCACTGCATGCACAGAGGCGTTTGTGGATCTGCCTGCGAGCCTGGCTGCCGCTGGATTTGCTTGGAGGGAAGGAAACGGTGAGGTTAGCAGGGCGGCAGGTCTCTGCATGGTACAGGAAAAAGGAGGAGGCTGGATGACTGCTGCTTCTGCCCACATGTGGGACATGAACGTCTGCCTGGGGAAGACTTGCTGCTGCTGCTGCTCGCCGTCATTGAGGAGATGGGAAGGGCTGAAGCTCTGCAGTGGGAGGAGGTGGTTGTGATTCTGGGGGTTGCAAGGCATCACGCTTCCTCGGCATGGCTCCCCGGGGAGTCAGGCGGTGGGAGAGGAGCAGCTGCTCCCAAGTCCCACTGGTGCTCATGGTGCTGGGGCTGCAGCTCTGCCTGGGGCTGGGGGCTGCCTCCTCCCTTTTGGGGCTGCTCTGGCATCTGGAGAGGATGTCTCCAGGTCCTCTGCATACACTGGGAGATGAGTGATTGCTCTGAGTGAGGCAGGCTGCAAGTCCTTTATGTTTCTGCTTTATTTGGTATTTCTAGCCAAGGTTTGTTGTTTGAGTTCATGCAAACAGACGTCCTGAGGGGGAAACCTGCCAGCAAATGTAAATTGAGATTTTTGTGTGTGTGTGTGTGTGTGTGTGACTGAGCAGTACAGAGTCCTTTCTGTATTCCCCTCACCCTCCCAGGCGCTGCTGTTAACTGTTTGGAGATGGTCTCTGTTCTCACGCCTGGCTTAAACTGTCTGGCTACACCTTGCTAACTCCTTCGCGCAAAATATGCTTCGTGTATGGCCAAGTGGACTTCTGCAGCTGGGTTCATACTGTGTGCATTAGGGTTTAACCGTGACACGGGTGTTGCAGCCGCAGGCAGGCTTACAGGTGAGCATACTGTTGGTTTGCTGATGAGGGTGCTTATGGGTTGGGTTTGTAACGATGATAACTAACTGAGATGGCAAAATCACTCTTCCTGAGCATGTCTTAAAGGTGGTCTCCGCCTCCCTGCGACTAGTCCTCGAGTCCTGATGGATCCTGTTTAGGACGTGCTCCCCCATCCAATGCTTGTTTGCCAGTTGGCTTCACTGGCAGTGGTTCTCCCGGCGACTGGTGTGAATTGGTGAGATGTTGCCGTATTAAGAAAAGGGGTGAAATTCATAGGTCTACAGGGGAAGACTAATGATATTCTGGATTTGGGACAAGTTTATTTTTCAAGCACTTAATCAGGACCAGAGACGCCTCGGGATCTTTGACGTTTGGATTTATTAAAAGAAAAAAATGCGCTACTAATGCGTTACAGTTTGAAAATAATGAAGAGCAGATCAGCTCTGCTGCAGGGACAATCCAAAGCTATACTTTGTAGTTACACTTTCCGTGCCTTTGTTCATTTAGAAGTAAATTAGTATATTGGTGAATTCCTTAATTGCTAATTAGAGCTAAATAATTACGGAGGGCTAGGGTGATGGTGGAGGAAGATGTAAGTGGATGAGGGCAATAGATTAGATGTTTGATACCGGCAGCCTAAATTGTACCTGGATTGCAGTCTACTCCTTTTGTGATTTTTTTTTTTTTTGAGGGGTACATTGTAATTTATGAATAATCTTCGAGCGATGGATGGTATTGACCCACTTCTACCTTTTGTCTTCTCTTTGTCTGCCTGTACTAAAAGTGAGCAAGAGAGCTATTGACTACTAAACTGAACGGCTTTTTCCAAAGCAATTTAATTTGGGATCCTAAAGTCATTCAACCAAAAGTCAAATAAAGCTTAAATCCCACTGATTTCCAAAGAGACAAAATTTCACAGGTTTAATTATCTGGACAGTTCAAGCTACTTCCGAGATTTCTTCTTGATTTAAAAATGCTGTGAAATCTCTATGAAAATGCTCAGTTTGTTCATGGCATGTCTGTTCTTTCATGCTCAGATTTGTTATTGAACAAAATTGGTGTTGCAATCACTTGTTTAGTCTCATTCAATCCTACAGCTGCTGGTAGCTCCTTAAATAGTAACAGCTCAGTAGTAGTCCAACACGGTCACTGTGCGTACAAATACAGCATTTCAGCAGCCAGGACTGCTTGTTCCTCCTCCTTGCCATTCATAGAATCATAGAATCATTGAGGTTGGAAAAGACCTCTAAGATCATCGAGTCCAACCGTCAACCCAACACCACCATGCCCACTAAACCATGTCCCTAAGCGCCTATTCTCTTTGGTCTTCGTAACTAAAAAAACCCAAGGTAGGTCTCTTATTAGCATCTGAGCACTTCTGCAAGGATTTAAAATTTTCAGCCTGGACTCTGCTGTTAGAGCTTGGCGAGAGTCTTATTTTGCAGTGTGGCATCTTTCCAGTTAGCGGGTGGCCTGAATCCATGGTGATGGGCTGGGAGGAATGCCTGAGCAGACTTCAGGCTGTCCTTCAGCCCGAAAGGGAAACTGCGGGGTGAGGCTGGTATTACTGTTCTAGCTTTATGGTGTGTGTCAACCAGCAGCCAGGGAGCTCCTTGCAAGTAATTTTTCAGAAACGCTTCCGGGGAGCAGGAGGCCAAATGAACCAGAAGAGCGTGCTGGGCAAATGCTTGTCTCTGCTCCCGATTTTGCATATGCTTAAGCAGGAGGAGATGCTCCTGTGTGGCACGATTCATGAGCGTGTATTTCTGCTGGGTCAGGCAATGCTTGGTGGCGGCAGAGAACATGGAGCAAAATGAGCTTGGACATTACTATGACCTGGATGGCAAAAAAAAGATTTTGATTTTTTTGTGAGGTTTTGTTGTTTGGTACCAAGTCTGAGTTTTACCTAAAAATTCTTTTTTTTGTTGAGGTTTTAAAATATCCAATATACAGAGTAAAAGATCTTAC